ATTAGAATGTGATTTCAATCTCTCATTACATTATTGGAGATGACATCAAAACTTTCACCTATCATGTTAGAAAAGAAATATTTATTGCACAAACGATGCTTCATCGCCAAAATGTGTTATGGACTCCTTTATCAAAAGACCAGTTCTTCATTCGTTCTTGTTGATTACAGACAGATTCGTCTGAATGAAGGCTTGAGATACCTTGATTGCAACGGTCCCTAAGGTATGTATGGCAAAATTGGCATAGGTCTGTTCTAACACATCTTCATCGCGTTGCGACGGCAATACAAAAGTTTATTTTTTAGTGTCCTTTTTGAGTGCCCATTCGTTAGAAATACATGATAAAGGTGTCAAATTATAGCATCGATCGTCAAACAAGTGTTCTTCACAATGTTTCTGAAAATAACAGGTGGAACACTAACGACTATAATAACGTAAATAACTGTTCGAATGACTAAGTTTGCAATGAAGAAAACCTCCGATTCAAGCAATTCAAGCAAAATAACCAGAATTTCCACTAAACGTTTATATTGAATCTTTTTGAGTCATTGACAAGCGGAGTTCGACTTATTTGAAAAATAACTGTAAAGATAGAGAATAAACGGTCATGTGTAAATACGTAACCAGCTTAGATTTTTGCGTTATATGTAGCGTCCAGTGATATCCGGGTCCCTTATCTCCTTGTCGTTGTGTTGCCAGCAATAGCAATATGTCAGATTATCTGTTGGTCGTAGTATCCTTAAATCATATGAAGCTGTAAATGTAATTTCAGGGATTGCATGACAGGTTCCGTAGGCATAAGTTTCATATATTTTATGCTGAATTTTTTATTATGTTGTATTGTTTTCCTTATTTCTTCATGTTGTTCCTATGTTTCAAGTTTTAGATAGCAAAATTCACCAATTCCGTATCTGTTCTTGCCGAAGGCATGCTGATGTTGAAAACGACTGTACTTGGTGTCATAGAAATCGATCCTAAGCAACTGCTTGAAGACGGCATCCGCCAAGAGCTTGTCAATGTTCTAGCATCTCAGTTGCATACCTCTTTGATATTCAGTCCTCGCTCTAAGGTGTGTCTCTTGATCTCGTGTATCAATCGTGTCACAAATGCATTTAGCTCGATTTGCTACCAAAGCTTCAGAAGTTGACGTCTATCATTGAGGCGTATCGGCGGTCGTTTCACTACATCTCTGATTATATCGGACTTTGTGGCCTCAAAATCTGGCAAGAGGAGTTGAAACGAGTCGTGTTTTTCAACGTTGAGCAAGAGTGCAACCACCTTCTTGGGCAAGAGGTGCGTTTTGCGTTCGTTTCTGGTTGTCCTCGAGTGCTGAGCAACGTTTATGTTGTGTAGGTACTGGATTCGCAGAGTATTTATCAGTCGTCCATTATCAA